GTGGGACGAGGGCGCCCCCGCCGTCGGCGGAGGTCATAGCAGCCCCGAGCGCCGAGGCGGGGAGCAGCGGGTTATCCCACTCTGTCTTTTGAGGACGTCTGTTCCTCTCCCATCTTATAGAGGAGGCGGCAGAGGCCCAGAGCAGCCGAGAGCCTCGTGTGCAGCGCACGCTTGCCCAGGCAGCGCGCCCCTCCGTGCTCCCCGAGCCCCCCGACCCCAGCAGTGAATGATTACTGTTCCGCGATCCCAGCGGCAGTGCCACTTTTAGTCCCTGCTTCTCAGATGGCGAAAGCAGGCTCGGGGAGGTTAAAGCAGTCCTGAAGATGCTGGGCTAGGACTGGAACCCAGACTCACGCGGTGTAAAGGATCTTGCAGGTCCCCGCACCGGGTGAGGATCGTGGCAGGCTAACCTCAGTGCACGTCCGGTCCGATTCGGGAGTTTCTCTCCGAGACGCGCGTTTGCGTAATAAGCCACCACTGCCCTGCAGATGCTGGAGAGGAGAGGGGTCACAGCGCCACGACGCTAGAAGATGGGACTGTGACTTTAGGAGCCACACAGACTTCTCTGGCATAGCGTGAGCTGGTCAATATCAGAGCCGCCGGAAAGCTCTGGGACATCGACCTCAGAGAAATATGTGGCTATGGAGGACATCTATGCTAGTAAAAGTGTCTGCATAGGAAGAGGCTGCTCTAGACAACTTTTATTGTTGGAGATAGTTTATCTGCATAACGAGACAACCTCCACTCATAGTACAGTCCTCCTCTCACCATCCTGTGACTCGAGAGTCACCCCACCTGCCCTGAACCTCAAGCCCCTAATCCTTTCTGGAACTCAGGGCTCCATGTGAGCTGCAGCCGCTGGCCCTTCTCCAAGTCTCCTGTGTGTATGTGCATAATTAAAAGGGTTTCACCCTTTTCTGTGCCCTGTGTCGGTTGAACCTGTAACAAAGCCAACGACTTAGAAGGGTGGAGTGAAGCCATTGTTCTCTCTGCTACCATAGCAGATACTTTGTATCTCAGGGTCACAAGGCTCTGCTAAGCAGAGAAGCCTGGAACACTTGTCCCCTAGCAGGGTTCCAACAGTGAGGCCCTCCCGGGGATGTTCCCCTCCTTCCCCCACAGGGAGTTCTCTCTTAGAGCTGACCCACATCCCCCGCTGCTGAGGTGTCTCCTCCCACCATCTTCTCACAGAGGCTTCTCATTCTATCTTTGTTTTTAATTAAAAAACACGTGCTTATCATCCACAACCTTCATAAACCCTCTGTTGCTCACCAAATTAAGACAAATGCTGAATTCTCACATTTAAGTCCCTCTGAAACAGAATTAATAGACACTGATGACTTTCTTCCTCACTTATAGGTCACCTTTGCTGCTCGCACCCAGAGCTGCTCACCATTCTCTAAGTATGCACAGAACTTCAGAACCACCAATCCCACACCCATCCTTCCACTAGAATACTCTTTCTGCCTCATCTCTGGCCTGATCCAATGCCTGTTTCAAAGCATGATCCAATCTACCTTTCAAAATGAGATCTGGAGCCGGGGCATAGTAGCAAACGCCTGTAATCCCAGTACTTGGGAGGCTGAGGCAGGAGGATCACTTTGAGTTTGATGCCAGCCTCAGGTACACAGTGAGTTTAAGACCAGACTGAACCACATAATGAGACCCTGTCTCAAAAAAAGGAAACGAAAAAGTGGTCTGATGCATACTTCAAAGCCAATCTCAAATGCCAACTCCTCTAATGAATCTTTCCTGATATCTCTAATGCAAAATAACCAGTACAAACTTACTAAATGCTGTACACATCGATGAATGAGCCCCAATCAATATGTCCTCATTTCTAAAAATCTCCAGAAATTGTTTATAATTTTTGTTGTTTATTTAATAGACTTTGTTTTTTAGACCCTTCCTTCTTTCCTCTCTGTCTCTGTCTGTCTCGTGCTGGGAATAAACCCAAGGCCCTGCATGTGCTGGGCAAGTGCTCTACTGCTGAGCTGCACCCCAAGCCCCTGGAGCACCTGTAAGTTCACAGAAAAACATTTCACCACCTTGTTTCCGCGGGCCCAACGGCACAACGCGCACACCATTCAGAACCTTGTTTTTCCCATTTAATGTCTCAGAGATTGCTTTATATCCTTTACATTGGGATAGTTCGTTCATTCATTCATTCATTCATTCATTCAAACGCCGTCCAAACGCCAGCTCTACATCTGGCACTCTGGAAGATGCTTGGGACATAGGACTGACCAGAGACCAAGTCCTGGCCATGGACAACTGGCACTCTGGTGGAGGGCCTCGGATACTAGTCATAGCAAGCAGAGGAACCTCATGGAGCGACTAAAGCGGGGACAGGCTGCAGAGAGGGCAACCAGTACAACCGTTGTGCTGGGAAGACCCAGCACCGGAGCACGTGGGGGGAGCGCAGATGGCAGCCCCAGGAAGACGGCACTGGTGGCGAGGCGGCCTGCTGGGCCGGTGGGGCGCCTTCCTTCAGCGTTCCCCACAAGGTGTCCCCCTCCCATGATATGCACCCCAATAGGCCCTCCAGGCAGGTCCCGACGACGCTCGTGATTCCCGGGGAGACTCCACAGCAAAGCGTAACTTCCTCAGGTCTGCGCCCAGAACGGTGCCTGCTGCGGGCTGCGCCTCCGCCGAGCCTCTCACCGAGACCGGGGAAGGACCCCGGGCACCGCCACCCCTTGCAGAGCCGCCACTGCGGGCGCAGGAGCGCGCTCCGGAGCCGGCCGACCGCGCTCGCGGGCGTGGTGCTTCTCACAGAGGCTCGCGTGGGCTGGACCGGGGCGGAAAGGCCGGAGGCCAAAGGGAGGGCAGCTGTGGGGGAGGAAGGTTGGGGAAGGCGCGTCAGAGGGGCCGGCGCCCCGCGGGGCCTGCAGCGTGACTCTCCAACGCCGAGCCTCAAGTCTCGCCGCAGACCCGAGGGGGCCCAGGGTCGCGGGCCAAGACACTGCGCGGTGCGTGCGCTGTCCGTCCAGCGAGTGGACGCTGTCCGTCCCTGCAGCCGGAAGAGTGGTCAAAGGCGCCGTGAGACTGCACTGAAATAGTTTAATCATTTGGGAGTCTGTAACTCTGTCAGTTATACAGCCTAAAGTTTTAAAAAGGAACAATAAAGAAAAAGAAATAGCACATGCTATCTTGTGCCGCATCAGGGAAGGTCTTGCCACCTCAGGAAGCCAGCCCTGCTGGCTCAAACCAAGTCCGCTGTTCTCCTTGACCCTGCCCTTGCGGAACAGCGGCAGCCTGAGGCTGCCAGGAGGTGCGTGGGGGCTGGCACCGAGCACAGTGGGGAGCTTGTGCTTTTCCGAGGAGCAGATTCCGGTGTGTGGCCTGTGGTGGGGACCCCGGCGAGGCCTCTGCCCCTCCAGGGCTGGAATCCCGGATGGCGCAGATCAAGCCCAGGAGCCCCCAACCCTCTGGGGGGCAGGTCTGGCTTGGGGTCGCTAGGGCGCTGCAGATGGAGGCCCTGTGCTTTGGCAACCTCTAGAAGGAAGTGGGAAGGAGCCGTGGGTGGTGCTGAGACAGAGGCTGGGCCTCAATCTTGGGCCGGCCACAGCGTCCTCATCTGGGTGAGTGGGTGCTGTCTCATTTTACCCCAAACCCCCATACTCGAGTTGGTTTCCGGTTAAGGTCCGAACCCGAGGACTTGCAATCCCAACAACTAACCAACAGAAGGCGCCACCTAACCGGTTTGAAAAAGGAGAACTTCGGCTGCGAAGGGGCTCCAGAGGCTGGCATCATCGTCCTCTCTCCCTTTAAATAATTATTTGTGAAAATCAGCTCTGTTCTGTACACTGAGAATACAGCGGGGAACAAGTCCCCCATGCAGCTGTCGATCTTCCCGGCGGACTCCACATCTAAACCCTCTGTGGGATCCAGAATACAGCCTTTCTGCCCTCCTGGGCGTCTGCACCCTGGGCGGCTCCATCCGGTTCAGCCTCTTTCGTCCTCTGTACTTCGCTATAGTCGCTGCATCCTCCCCGCTGCTTCTGCCCTTTCTTCTTTCACCCACAGGGATGCTGTTAGCCCGTCCCTTCTCCGCTGGGGCCCCTGGCTCTTCCTCCTAGTGTGCTCCTCCGCCCCTGCCTCAGGGCCTGGCACTTGCTGCCCCCTGGGGCTCTCTACCTCCAGGTGCTGTATCCTCAGGGCTCCTTCTTCACTTTGTTGGCTGTCTCTCAATCTCGCTGGCCCGGAGGTAACTTTTATTCACAGAGCCTCAGGCCATCCCTTCCTGCTCGCACTCAGCCCGAGGGCGTGCTGGTGTGTTTGCTTAGGCATTTTGTTTGGGGTCTGTCCCGGCCAACCGTGCAGGCTCAACAAAAGTAGGGACTGTCACAGCTGCCTGGCAGGTGCCCTAAAAATACTTGTTGACCGAATGAATGACATTGAGGCAGGGCAACTAACTGGATTTGGGGATAAGGGAGAGGGAAGAGTTGAGTGACGTTTCGAGTCACTTGAGCAGTCCATCAGGGTGTCTCCCGCTGAGCTGCAGACCCTGGGGTGGCCTGATGGAGGATTTTTGCCTGCTGGGGTGAGGCTCACAGCCATCAGAATCCTCGGGCAGTGGGGTCCTGACCAGCTACTTCTGTGTCCTGGGCTTCCCTCCACCTCCTTCCTCCGCAGGACCCAGAGGGGCTTTGGGTGGAGCCTAGACTGCAGTTTCCCTGCCTGTCTGGGGACAGTGAAAGGGCGGTCTGTTTCTCCCCACCCTGGAAGTGTGGCTCTGCCCCTAACCCCTTAGGGGACCGCTGAGCTGCAGGCCCTGCCTGGCTCCCAGCAGATGCGCAGAAGGTGGAAGGCAGCAGCCTACAGCCTATGCTGGAGCCCCTGGGAGCCCCAGCAGCAGATGGGCAGGTGCACAGGGCCCCCCACCCCCACCCCAGGACAGGGCTGCTCTGTCCAACCCGCAGGGCTCTTCCTCCCTCATCCAGTCTGCATCTTCCTTTCCTCCTCAGTCTCCACCCACCCGGACTCAGCCCTAAGTGTTGTCTCAATACTTTCTTTAAGTCAACTCACTTAGATTGAATTAGAACACTTCCCAATACCTGGAAAAATAGAAAATAACCCTGCTAACTACATACTCAGTTGGTGTTAGCATTTTGCAACACTTGCTTTATCTATTGTCTTCTGAGGTATTTTAGTGTAAATCACAAATATTATGGATTTTAATCTCAATACTTTTAAGTCTATATCTCTAGAAAATAAGGCCATTTTCTGCACAACACAGGCTTGCTATTCCTGCCCCCTGTACCAACAGCTCTCTGGTAGCTAATATTCAGTTTGCAGCAGATCCCACATTTGTCCTGCGATGTCTCACAGCTGACGATGGGTTGATTGTTGCAGGAAGCTGGACATACAAGAGGACAGCCAGGATCTCCAGGCGTAAATGCAAAGGGTCTCTGGAAACGGACACAGTGTTTTAGTGCCCTGCTCTCCGGCTGTGACAAAGACATTAGTGTTACTTGATGTGGCAGAGGGAAGGGCAGAAAGATGCTTTCTCACTGATGTCTTGGGATTTGCCAGGACTTGGGAGAGTCATTTGGGTCAGTTGGTCTGTCAGGGTGGGGAAGGGCCCTCCCTGGGTGAGGAGGTCCCAGGAAGGACCTGCTGCCCCTGGAGCCCTGCGATGTGCTAGGATGACACTGGACGTGCATCCATGCATGCATGTGTGTGTGCGTGTCCCTGCTCTGATTCTGTTTGTAAAGGAGGCAAATAGCTATTTCAGAACAGGACACCTGCCCCGCTTGCCTCTCCCCTTGGGATGGTGACTCCCCATCTCCATCCCCAGCCCTCCTTCTGACCCCCTCTCCAGCCTCCTCTGCTCTAGGAAGTGTCGCCTCCACTTGGAAGTTTGCCCTGATCCTGCACTACATTAGGCCTTGTAGAATTTAAATTGGGGTGGGAAGCAAATAAAAAACAAGAAAGCAAGCTACGCCTGAGGATGCTGAGGCAGGAGGATCACAGGTTCTAGCCCAGCCTAGGCAGCTTAGTGAGACTGTCTCATAAATAAACAAAATTTTAAAAATAATTTCTAATAAGCAGCTGAAGATGTGGCTCAGTGCTCCTTAAGTTCACTCCTCAGTACCAAAAAACTAAAACAGAACAAAAAGCAAGGAAACAAGCATATCAAACAACACCAGTGTGAATTATTCAGTATGTGTCCGGTGCGCAGCGTGTTCATGTTGTGCAGGGCAGATGGGGTGTGCAAGTGTGGGGGAGCAGGGAGTTGGAGCAGAAGTGGGCTGGGTCAAAGAACAGGGGGAAAGCCTCCAGCTTTGGCGAGCGCAGGTCCGAGTGCGAGGAGCGGGGTATGGTCACCTGGGGAAAGGTCCCCCTGTGGATGCCTGGGCATGGACGACGCCCTCCCTTACCCCTGTGCCCAATGAGAGAACAAGGGAGCCGTGTCCCAAGTGGTGTGCGAGGGGGTCTCATTTGCATCTGATTTCCATGCGGAGCGGAAGGGTCACTGCAAGCCGCAGTGCCTGAGACAGTGGGACAGCGCCACAGGAGAGGGGACTGGGGTTAGGTTCCCAAAGGCTCTGTCTTCTTCCCGTTCCGGAGGGGCCCTGTGTCCCCCACCCCACACCCCTGCTGACCAGCTTTGCCATCTGGGAACACGGTCTTTTCCGTTCCCGAGAGGTCTGCAAGCCTCGATGACAAAGCTCCCCTCACCAGTCCCTTTCCATACAAAATCCCATCTGCTAGGCCCAGCCTCCGACCTCCGACCTCTCCCTCCGTGCAGGCCCAGGGTGGAGGAGGGGGGCCACCTCTCCTCGGACTCCCCATCTGTCCCCTCCCTTCTGCCGCCTGCGCCCTTTCTGTGCTCTCCGTCCTGTAATCCGGGCAGACCACTCCCTGCAGCCATCCTCCCACCCACCCGGTATCAAAAGCAGCTTTCCTAAAGCCGATGACTGGCGTCCTGTATCTGTAACTGATACCCTATCCGGGTCCACCTGCTTTCTTAGTGACGGAGGTTAAGTGGCTTCACTTTCCTTTGCTGAAACAGATTTATTTGGCACTCAGGCTTGAATCCAGGGCTTTTGCACTCAGCTACATCCCCAGCCCTTTTTATGTTTTTAAAAAATTTTGACACAGGGTCTTGACAAAAAATTTCATCCCAGATATGTAAATAGAAAAACCAGTATCATCTGCCAAAATTAGGAAAATACTGAGGGAAATGGAATGAAAATAAAACAATAAATATTATTAATTCTAGTTTACCCTCAAGAGAAAGAAGCCAGATGCAGGAGGGTCCCTGCTGTATGACCCACTTCTCTGACCACCTGGGAAACGCAAAACTCTAGAGAAAGACAGGGTGGGGGGCGGGCTTGACACCGGGCAAAGGGGGGCTTCGGGACCCTGGGAAATGCTTTGGTTGTACAGGTGGTTAAAGAGTGCTTACATGTGTCAAAAGTTATCCAAGTGTACCCTTAAAGTCAGTGAATTTGATTCACAGAAGACACTTTCAAAAGACAAAACAAAAATTCCTGCTTAGCCTCCTCTCCTGCTTACAACTAGCAAGTGTAAGGAGCACTGCTCAGGGAGACAAAGACTGAGCCCTCCTCTGCGGTCACCAGAAAATACGGCAAGAAAACCGCAGAGGTGGCAATGGACTCCAGAGCGGCACTGTCCAATACGACAGTCACTAGCCTAGGTGAGTTCATGAAGACTCGTATAATTTATAAACCAACTCCTTACTGGGTGTGGCGACACACACTTGGAATCCCAGCACTCGGGAGGCTGAGGTAGGAGGATCATGAGTTTAGGCCATCTGGGCTACACAGTGAGACTGTCTCAAAACAAAAACAAAACAAAACCCCCAAACAAACTAAAAACCTTCCATCTTTCTCCACTCTGGCTTCCCTGTGCCGGATGGTGACCTTAGGACCATTTCAGCTTTCACTGTCCATGATTCTAGGGGCTGACAGGGGCAGTCTAGGGCTTTAGGTTGAGGGGATATAAGGGTTTGAAGAATTCAGGACTCAAACATCCTGGAATTCCAGAGTCAAAACTCATTCTCTGCCCCTGGGCTGTGGCGGTCCCAGGAGTGGAGAAAGGATGGTGCCAGCTGGGGCCGCTTCCTCTGTGCTGCTCAGGACGGGTGCCACCTCCCTACCCCTCTGCTGCCGGCCAGCCTGTCCCTTGCCCCAGAAGGTTGTTTGCTGGAACCCTCGTTGTTGTCATTCTACTCTGGCATCTGGCACGTATGTGAGCGTGTGTGTTCTCTGCCAGGGTTGCAGAGGATCTAGTCAGGATCCTTCACAGCTACTTTGTGCAATCCTGTGCTATGGACTGAACATTTGTGTCTTCACTAAAGGCATACGGCGAAGCCCTAACATCCAAGATGATGCTGTCTGGAGGCAGCCCCCTTCCGAGGTGCTCATGAGGCTGGGGTCTTGCCAGTAGGATTCGAAGTTGTATAAGAAGAGCAAGACCCTACTGTTCCTGTCACACGCACACGCTAAATCTGCAGACACCCAAGATGTGCCATTGCCTCCCACCGTGTGGGTGAATCACTCTTGTCCAGCCTCATGTGTGACCCTATGATTGACCAGAGAGAGTCCCGCTGTCCCTCACCATTCCCATTCCTCTGTGGCCAGGCGGGGGTTGCACTCCCACCCCAACAACATCTTCATTTTTGTGTTTTGAGACAAGGTCTCACTGTGCAGCCCAGGCTGGCCTTGACCTTGCTGGGTATCCCAGGCCTCAACTCATGACCCCTGTGCTTCAGCTACCTGAGTGCTGGAATTACAGGCCTGAGCCACGACTCCCAGCTCTTCTTGTTTGCTATGAATAGGAATGCTGTAGTAAATTTTTTTCTTGTTAAACCTTTTTGAATATTCATTATTTACTCAAGATTAATTTCTAAAACAGTTGCTGTGCCACATTACAGGTCCACTGATATGGCAGTTCTATTTGTTTTTTTTTTTTTTAAATAAATATAACTATACTGTCTTCCAGAATGCACACCTAAAGCAAGCATCTCACTACACTGTTCAGAGGGGTATATCGGGGCTGAGTTTTGTTTTACTTCACTGCCTTTTTTCCCTCATGGGTCCCTCCATGAGATGTGTCACTGCGAGTTCACATATACAGACAGAACAAGCTTCAAGTTCAATAGAACCACGCGGGCAGAGAGACAGCAGTTGACATCTGACACTGATTTCATCTTGGTTTCAAGCTGAGTGGAGAAAACAATGCCAGGGTCACAATCTGGAAGAGGCAAAATCTACAAGCCTATCCACAGGGAAGATGTTGTTACTCATGTGCTGGGTCAGGATAAAGCAACAAGGAGGTCCAGCACCTTCTGATCCAGGCCCAGTTAATGACAGTTTGTTCACCTTCCTGTTGTCTGGACTCTGTCTCCCCGCCCTCCAGGGTCAGGGAGGGGAAGGCCTGGGATCCCTTGAATCACTGAACTGACAGCAGGTGTTTGTAACAAATTCTTAGGGAGAGGACATCCTTAATGCACTGTTAGCACGTGAAGATGCCCAGCATTTCTAAAATCTGAGTGTGTGCAAATGACCTGTTTTCCTGTGGCCTAATCTGGGAGCCTGGCACTGTTCCTTCTGCCCCCTATCTGCCCACATTCTCAACATGGGCATGAGCCTCAGGGCTTCCTTTTGTCTTGGTTTAGGCTCCGGTATGTGTAGGGCAGAGGCGAACTTCGAAGATGCATCGGTCAGCAGGGTCTTTATCCAGACATCTCAAATATCTCCTAAGCCCTGATTAAAATTATACCTTTCAGAGAACCCAATCAACACCACCGTTGTCATTCTCAGTTAATGCAAGGAAGATGAGGGCTGAGAGGCAAGCTTGTGATGCAGTCACATGGCGAATTCTATGAAGTTATCCACGGTCAGGTATTTCAGCCTCACTCTGTCTCAGCCACCATCTCCTTCCATTTTGTGTTCCTTCAGTGTCAGGTGACACTGGGATAGTTGGAAGCATTTTGGGCATCTGGCTAAAAGGACCTTGGCAGCATAGTGGAATATATTTATATTGTTTCTGGTCACTTTTGTGAGTAATCACATTACTAACTCACCTACTATAGGAATAGCTTCAGGGAGCTATTCATTGAGCACAATGAGCTGATTCAGTTTGGCAGGTGACATGAGAAGCAGGGTCAGAGGTCACACCTCAATATATATACATGGTCTTACAACGCCCAGTCCCCTAAATAAGTGGTAGAAGAGGGGAGGTTTGAATTGTATGCATTGAGCCAGAAGGTAGTTCTGGAAACTGGCTTTGTGGACAGGAAATTGATAAATAGGTAATTAATAAACACCATGTTACTTCCTGGTTTTTGTAATGTTTGTGAAATTTGTCATTCGCTGTATTTCTTTTCTCTTTCTCACCAGATTGGTTACACATAAGATTTTATATTTCCTTAAAGGAGTCCCACTAAGTTGTACAAGCATCAGGAAGTAGAAAGCCTGGACCTACCCTGTTTAGCCTTCTCTTGGTTCTTACGGCCCACAGCATTCCCCCGCCTTTCCTCCCCAACAGGGCCAAACAGCACACACGCTTATAAGGGAATGCAGCCCACGGGTTCAGGGAACTTTTGTACTCTCATAAATCAGATGGGAGCCATACTACGACCTGCCTTGCCAGATGCAATGAAGTCCAGGGAGATAATGGGTAAATAAGCCAAAGCACCATCTAGCAGAGGACTTGGCTGGTGCCAGGTATGATGCATCTCTGGTCCTTACAGACACAGCCAGGCTCCCTGTTTACGACAACTCTCTGTCCTGAATTCGTTGGTGCCCATGCTAGGCTGCACAACATGGTGAGCAATTGATAATTATCGCCTCCTCTGCATGACCGAGGAATGTAATGTACACAGTAAGTGCTCAGTCACTGGAAGCCCTAGACAGACCCAACTGGTTCTAAATTGAACAATGCAGACCCAAGCAGTAGTTGACCACTATACAGTGCCCTCATTTGGAAAGGCTGTGGCAGTGTATTAATTCTACCCTCTTAAATTTTTTTCCGTGACATGTACAAGTATTGAAAATTTGGAAAATCTACAAAAGTACAAAGAATAAATTAACTGCTGTTATTGTAAATGTTTATCCATAAACACATAGGATACTATGGTTATTATCTAATATATATTTATCTGTACATAGTGCTTTTAAACATACATTTAAAAGTGTAATGCCTCCTTAGCACTTCTCCATCTCTTTAAATATAATTTACATATATCATTTTAATGGATGCATAATATTCCTCATCAGAAAATGGTTATAATTAAAAATGCTATTTCAGAAGGTTATGTCATGAGCACGGACAAGCGGTAAGTCATACAAAGGTACTTTGGCATGTAAAAAGCTCAGTTAATTTAGCTCTTTCTTAAGCTAACATATAAAATCAATACATTGTCAATGGACATTGAAGTTGTTCCCATAATTTTGCTACGATGAGTAACCTTGGGCAATGTTAATTTCTGCTGATACCGTCTTTGTAAACTTTGTGACTGTGGAGACTCTACATTTTAACACTAATTCGCTTATTTTTGTGCAGCTGGGGGAGGTGAAGAGGGGAAGGGACTTACCTGAGGTCACAAATGAAGCTAGCTGCAAAATTGGGAGTAGGAACCAACCAGGGGGACTATTACCTCTCTAGCTGAAGACCCAGAGGAAATCCCCGCTGGAAGAGGGTGAGGGAGAAGTAGGGAAAGAACTGGGCGCTGGGCGCAGAGCAGGGGCCGGAAGAACCGAGGCCAGCTGGGCAGAGCGGGGCGGGGCTGTGAGCCAAGGCCCTAGTCTTGCAAGACCAAACTAAGCGGTTGCCTGGCAACCCGGGCGGCGCGGCGTTCGAACGGAAGCGAGGAACCAATCAGGAAGTCCGGGGCGAACCATTCCCCGGTGACGGGGGTAAGGGTGCTCACTTCCCCTTCCTCCGAGCCCCGGGGATTTTTGCTCCCGTAGGGCTGGTGGGACGGCACAGGGACCGCTCCGAAGACTCCAGGCCCTGCGGCTCCCCACGCAGTGGGCCTCCTGGGCCGCGTGGACCTTGGCTGCTCCAGGCTCGGTCCAGCTGTCAGGCCTCTCCTGTCCCCGCGAGAGGAGCGGGACTCGCCTAGCGCAGGCTGCAGGTGAGCAGCGGTTCCGGGGTGCTAGCTCTGGCCTGAGGGGCGCATTCCCGAGTGCTGGCAGTGCGTGTCTGCCGGGTGGTGGGGACAGTGAGGCTCCGAGGGGCAAGTGTCCTCACCGGCCAGGTCTGGCAAGGACTCCGGTCCTAGGATTTCCCCTCCACCTTACAGTGGAGGGGAACATCGAGTCTAGGCACATCGAGATCTGCCCAGAGAAGCCCCAAGGGGCAACAGCTGATCACTTTCGCAGCCCCCTATCCGGGACACGGCCCTGGACCTCTGGCTGGATCACCTGTCCCCGCGCGCACTGTTCTCCAGGTACTGTTCTGGACCTGTCTCTTTTTTTGCAGATGGCAGGGGTTGTCCTCGGGGCTCCTCCGGGACCCTTCTGCCTACAGGTTCTCAATTCCAGGGCCGTTCCTCTCAGAAGACCTGTCTTTGATGGTCAGATTGACAGTTCTGGGCTAGACTGGAGGTGGCAGCAGATTTGGGGGGTGACTGCTGGCCTCTTGCGTATCTGCTTGGGGCTGGGGAGGGACAGTCTCTAAACCAAAGCCACGAGTCTCCAGGGACTTTGGAGTTGGGAGTGGGGCCAGGACCCTCCCAGGTGGAGCGTCTAATATGAGGCTAGACGGTTGTTCAACCTCCTGGGGACGCCCCTCTGCCCAGGTTGTTATTGTTGGTCTCCCTTTGCAGGTGCAGAAACTGAGGTTCTGAGAAGTTTGGGCCTCTTGCCTAAAGCCATAGACCTGGCAATACAGGCTGACTCCCAGTCTCTCTGGCTTCACTCTTCCGGTCTGTGACACAGAAACGCAGGATTTGAGGGTTGAATCTCTTTAGAAGAGAATTACTTATCCTCTTCTGGGTCAGCCTCCTGGCTTTGGGGAGAGGAGCTCAGGGAACTCGGAAAGAAAAGAAGTCTTTCATTCGTTCTTTCAACACACTTCTTATGCCCTGGGCTCCCTGTGCCTGTTTCCTTTTCCAGTGCTGTGAGGCAGTGCACTGTCTTCCCCACTGCAGTGTGTGCAAGCGGGGCTGGGAGCTCCTCACCAGTGTGCAGTCCAGAGCGCCGGACCTTGGTAATTGGTAATCGAGATAACCAAAGCTGACATCTGCCAGCCATTGCTGTGTGCTCTGCTGGTCTTTGGAGCAAGCATAGTCCGCCTGTCTCTGTCACAGTTACAAGTGCTCTAAGAGGCAAGCTGTCCCACTTGGTGCACTGCTGATCAGTGGATCGGTAACAGACAGAGACTGGACAGGGGAAGGATTGGTACTCTGCACTACTGAGCAAAAGCGCAGGGTGAGAGCAATGCGCATGGCACAGTGCCGAGCGTGTGAAGGGAGAGGAAGAGCTTGTGTCCATACTTGCTTCTCTCTGGAAGGAGACAGCTGTCTGGTCACAGTGGTGCCTGCAAGGAGGACAGCTGACAGGAGAAGTTTTGTTCTGTTTGTTTTTTCACTCTATTCTCTTTAAAGGTTTTGAATTTGAGTCATGTGAATGTGACATTTCATTGAGAAACAATTAAATGTACAGTTAATGATTAAATATATGTAAAATCGTGAGATCATTGCCCTGTGTGTGATCAGTCACCAGCTCTCTGAGTGACTCCGGGCGAGTCTCTTCACGTGTGTGGGCTGAGGTAGAACTCCGTGATGGTGAGGAGGTGCCCAGGCCCACGCAGAGGGCAATCTAGGACAGGAAGTGGGCTTGGCTGTGGGTCTGTCTCAACCTTCACCATACCCATGCTGGGTGCCATGCCTGGCCCCAAAGGCCTTGAATGTGGCATCTCTGACATTCAGTCCCCATTGAAAGCCCCCTTGTCCCCATTTTGCCACTCTAGGTAAAAACCAAAGTCCAGAGGATGGAGCTGGTGGGGCTGGGCACATGGGTGGGCCTGGCAGGAGTGCGATGCCCCAGGCATCCACACCCACACTGCTCCCACAGCCTGCCCTTCCCTCCCTTCCTGAGGTTTGTGCAAGGCTGCCCTTGTCAAGGCTGACTCCTGGGCAGGCTCGGGCATGAGGCTTGGGAAGACTCCAGAAATAGCTTGGGCCCTGGTGTGGCCCTGGAGAATGCCCAGCAGGGTGTCTCCGACCTGGACAGCTGGGCTGAAATTGAGCTGGGCTGCCCTGCTTTCTGACCCCGTTCCCACTGCCTGGAGCCTTTCTGATCCTCCTGTGGGGCAGGCAAGGGCCTCCCTGTCTGGCAAGTCTGGGTCAGCTTGCACTGAAGGGAAGGAGCAGAGCAGGTAGAAGGAAGGGGAGAGAGTTTGTACAGTGTTGTGAGAATGATTAACACCAAAAGCCCCACCTGAACAAAGGATGGAAGTCACCAGCATGTCTTGATTACCTGCTGTGTGCTCAGTGTCTTTTAAGTGTACACTCCTTTAATTCCCTGCTCTCTCTGATGTAAGATAGTTGTGAATGTTACTTCTGTCTTTCAATTTTTTTAATTTTTATTTTTTGAGATAGTGGGGGTTGAATCCAGGGAACACTGAGCTACATCCCCAGTCCTTTTTGTTGTTTTGGTTTTGAGACAGGTTCTTGCTAAGTTGCATGGGCTGGCCTTGAACTTGCGGTCCTCCTGCCTCAGTTTCCCAAGTAGCGGGAATTACAGGCATGCACCCCATGCCTGGCTGTGGTTTCTGTCTGACAGAGGCAAAACGGAGTGCAAAAAGGGTTTAAAACCTTGCCCAGAGGTAAAATGTGAATCCAGGGAGTCTGGCTCCGTATTCTGCACTCTGTGTGTGTGTGTGTGTGTGTGTGTGTGTGTGTGTGTGTGTGTGTGAATGCATATGCAATAAGTGAAGTTGGCCATCTTCACCACTTGTAAGTGGTGCTTCGGTGGTGTAAGTAACATTATTTTGCACTTATCACCACCTCCATCTCCAGAACTTTTTCATCTTCCCAAACTGTGGCTCCACCCCCAACAGAATACTTTCTCATTTCCACCCACTAGGCCCCTGGCAACTACCATGCTGCTTTCTGTGTCTGTGATTTTGACCATTCCAGATACCTAGAATGGTACCTAGATGCCTTCATAAACAGAAGCATACAGGATTTGCCTTGTGTCTGACTTAGTTCACTAAGCATAATGTATTACCGTGCTGAACCGTGTGTCAGAATTTCCTTCAGGACTGAGTGACACGTGCATGCACGCCACCTTTTATTTGCCTTCATTCACTGGTGGACACTTGCTTTGGTTTCGCCTTGTGCCTGTTATGACTAGTGCCGCTGTGAGCGGGGAGGGAGGCATTGTTGTGGGTCCTTTCTACAGCTGGGGAAACTGAGGCATGGGGAAGTTGTGCATCCTGTCACAACTCTCGTAGCTTATCCCTGGTGGAGCTGAGGTCTGACCCCCGAAGGCTGGTTCTACAGCTCATGCTGCACTCAGCAGGGGAGGCTGGGGGTGCAACAGGAGGGGCACGGAAGCAGAGTTCCGTGGTGTCTGGAGAAAGGACAAGGTGCAGCTAGAAGTGACCAGAGCCCAGGGGGAGTGGGAGTGGAACAGTTCTGGGAGGACCAGCAGTGAGCGGGGGTTGGTGCCCAGGGATCCTGGTCTTTTTCTCCCTTCCCGAAAGATGATTATTACTTACAAAGGCAAAGTGAGAACTAACCGTGAGAAGGGAATGTGGTAGGTGCTCCCTTCACTAGTGATTCGGCCGGACTGTTGTCCACTGCTCCTGGCTGGTGCTTTGCAGTCACTACTATTAGTGCCTGAAGGAGGCTCCTCTCCTCTCCCCCTATTGTGGCTTCAGTGGAGGGCCCGGTGGGGAGTCTGGAGCCCATGGTGGGAGACAGTGGTCTTGTCCACCCCTCCCGAAAACTGAGGACTAGAGGGGGCCTCAATGCTCAGAGAAGGAAAGCTTTCCGAGTCACTTCTGTCCCTTCCTGCTTCTACCCCAGGCCTGGCTCACCTGCACCAGACACAAAAATGAAGTGGGATCCTCTTTGGCTGCCCAGGTCTGAGGCTGGGGGATACCTCCTTCCCTAGACCTCAGGCTTCCAGGAGAAAATGGCCTACCTGAGTGGCAGAGGCCTTGGGGTGGAAGAGGGGATGGTCACTGCCCTGGCAAGCTTCCTTCCTGCAGGGCTACAGTCTCCTCTGGAAATGGGGTTACAGTGTGCCTCCCTCCCAGGGAGCCCAGCACTCAGAATTCTAGTTCTGACCATTGTGCCCAACCCTGCTGGCATTTATAGTTTGCACAAAGTGTGGCCTCCCTCAGGCCCCCAACATCGCACTGGCCTGTCCCAGAAGATGGGGGCGCCTCTCATTCATAGAGTGGAGAGCCAGCAATCTGTCTAGGGACTTGTAGCCAGAAAAAGGAGGCATTAAGACTTGGTCTGGAAGGGAAGTGGCCAGGTTAGACCCTGTAGGACTCTGGGCAAGTGACGGCCTGTCTCTGCCTAGTTTGCATTAGTCAAGCTGAGATGACAATACAGCTTACCTCACAGGGGCTTGGGGGAAGATTAAAATGGGTTAAGTAGCACCAGGAAGGGCACTTTCCTGTGAGCATTGCTAGACCCAGTGAGCATTCACTGCTGGTCCTCAGACTGTGCGCATGCTCAGTCTTCTCATCTCTAAGATGGGCTCCTGACCCTGCCCTGGGGATTTCCTGCTCCAGAGGAGCTGTGAGTTGGATTTGTCTGGCTTCCAGATGAGTGTCCCCGGGTGAGCTGGAGTGAATAAGACCTGGTTTTGGCAACGCCAGCTGTCAGTGAAGCTGGGGAGGCGGGATCAGGGATCGGCTTTCCTTCGCCCTTTTCCAGTAATGCGGTACCTGGGTGGCATTCACCTGCCCGCTGCCGGAAATTGCGCAAACTCCGGTTACCCGAGCCCCATATGGGTTGGGCAGGAGGAGCATAGGGCAGCTGTGCAGGCGGGTGCAGCCAGGTACGTGCGGGAGGGGACAGGGATGGAAGACCGGGCTGGGTGGGGGGTAGCCGGGCCCAGGTTCCCCAGGGTGGTGGGGACTAGGCAGGTGCTCACCGTTGGACTTTAATGGGACCTCGGGATCCTGCACTTAGCTCGCTCTTTTCAGAGTTAGGCCAACTCTGCCCAGAGAGGAGCAGCAGGCTATGAGTGTCACACAGCACGCTGAGGGTCTGTGGGTGTCGCTGGTGTCCTTCTTTGCTGCCAGGAGGCCCCAAGACTGCCCCCAAAGTGAGGGAGGAAAGAAACCAAACTGGAGATCCAAGTTTCCCCACTCCCTCCTGAAGCTAAGGCCAGCGGTGCCCTGCAGAGGGAGTGAGGCAGGACCATGTGCCATGCCAGGAATGCAGAAGAGGACTCTGGGCTGGTGCATTTGGGGCATTTGGGGCGTTTGTGGGCAGTGCTTGAAAATCGGTGGCTGGGTGTTTGGCGATGAGAGGAGGCCTCCGGGGACAGGGAGTGTCATCTGCGCCTGGGATGCTGGCCTCACCTCATGGGAGCCGCCCTGCCTTTGTCCACCCATGGCTGGGGCTTGCCAATCCAAGCACTGAAGCCTGTGTCATGCGTCTCCAGACTCTGTCAGGACTAGGCAGACAGACGCTTCTGGAGTTGCTTAGAGATCCCAGGGCTGGGCTGCGATCTGGGTTGTCAAAGTAATTGTACAGACAGAGCTAAGCCTGGAGTGCCGCCCTTTCCCCAAGGGCTAAGGCAGGTCCTCGACCTGTTTGATCTTTCACTGCCACTGTGACCTGAAGAATCTGGGAGCTCTATTTTTAACTGCCTTCCACAGAGAAGGAAACCAAGGCTGTTAAGAGGTGCAGTGGCTTGCGCAAGGTGCAATGGGGGCAAGTGGGTGAGCTTGGAGACCCTGGGTCAGTGGCCCCAGAACCAGGCTTGGTGACTCGAGTCTACTCTGCCTGCCAGAGGGGACCCTGGGGCCAGCAGACTCGGTAGGAGGGGTGGGCATAGGAGCACAGCAAGGGCCTTTGCTTTGGTGCTGCTCCTCTGACCTCCTTCCTCGCACTGTTCCTGAGGTGCGAGGGAGGAACTGCCCTCCCCAACGGGTTGGACTGGTTTGGGTGGCTGCAGCCGACAACATGGGGGTGGGATGGGGGTGGGGACGATTTGGGCTCTCTGGACACGGCACAGCAGCTCTGGTCACACTGTTCCCACTGAGGTTCCTAGGGCTTGCCCTGAGTGGGGGCCTCCCTTCTCTACCAGCCCACCTCCTCAGTAGTATCGAATCTGGGCCAGCACCCCCAAAGTCTTCCCACTGCTGCCGTGTCTCCAGCTTGGGGCTGGCAGAGCAGAGGGAGGGGCAGATATATTAACAGATCTATTTTGTTTCTCAAGTATGTGCAGTATTTTTTAAAAATGTGATTACTGTATATGCTCACAGTTAAGAACCTGGAGTTTGCACGCACTTCTGGATCCCAGCATCTGGAACACAACCCCTTCCTCTCGGGCCACTTGCTGCATACCTGCTGCAGGCCAGCGCCCCTTTCCTGTTTATCGCAGTCTGGCTGTGTGTGTCAAGCTCCCATAGGCATTTCAGTTCAGTAACTATTTGCTGCATACCTGTTCTATGTTGACAGGAGTATCATGAAACAAATTCAGTAAACAAAACCAATAAATCCTCCAGCCTCATGGGTGATATTTTAGGGCATGGGGGACAACAAAGCATAAAACAGCCGTAGACGTGATACAGTGGAGGTGATGGGGCAAAGAAATTGTGCATGTGTTGGAGGTGCTGTACTTCAGGGAGAAACAATTGACATTAGTGTTCTTAGGGTCAGTTTCGTGTGAATTTGTGTCTTATTTATCTATTCTGGGACCTAGCCCTGTCACTTTTTGGAGTCTTAGTTTCTCCATCTGCAGGAAAGGGTAACAGTGGCTGACAGGCTTGTTGGTTTCACGAGAGCATTCTGTCAAATGTCTGGCATGCAGTAGGGACCCTCTACCATGCAGGCCCCCTCCCCTCTGGATTTTCGGATGTCCCCATGAGGCCGTTCAGTGCAGCTCGGTGCCATGGGTGGGAATGCTTTATTCTGAGCTGTCTGCTGCAGTGACCACTGGCTACTCATAGCTATTGACAACTGGAAATATGGCTAGTGTGATTTAGGAACCAAATCTTAAATTTTTAGTTAATGTAAATATAAAGTAAGGTTGAGTAGCCTCAGAGTGTTAGCGGTTATGGATTTGGACAGCACTGAACTGCAAGTCTTTGTGCATCACCTGGGCTACGTACTCCCTGCCCTGTTTACTGATGAAAAGATTCGGGGTTTGGTGTGTGGATTTGCTTCTGCATCACCTCCAAGAGCAGCAGGGGGGTGGTGTGCAGGGAAGAATGGTGGTGCTTCCTGGCCCCAGTGGGCCTTAGACACAGGGACAGAAGTCGCTGGATGCCTGGGGCATTGGCCCTGGTGCTTGGGTGACCGTGCGGACACCTGTGTGCCCAGGCATGTCCTGCCTGCGTGTGCCCACCCCATGACCTGCTGGATACCTCTGTGCGGGGGCTGTGTGAGCGTGGGCACTTCCACTTTCCTTGCGGCAGTGTAGCTCTCGCCTGACAGGCCTCAGTGGGTGACCGTGGGCCTGGCATTGAGTCCCATACAGGAAGCTGACGGGTGTCTGGACTCCACTGGGGCATGGTGGGGATTTTCTGCTCTTTCCCTATATAGTCCACTCCTGTGCCTGCGGCCTGGCAGGTCCAGACAGGCAGATTCCATAGAGAGCAGCTTGCGGCCTGGATGGGTAAGAGGAAGAGACGGTACCAAGGTTACGGGGCAGCCCAGGGTGGGGGGTGCTGGGGCCCTTTCTCGGTCATTTAACCTCAGTGCCTCTGCTGGGAGGCAAAAGGTAGAGTCAGCTCGCAGGGTTAGCTTGAGCAAGGTGATTGCCTCCCTGAGCATCAGTTTCCACATCCGCACAATGAGGTTTTTGAGAGGACTTAGAGGGCCAGCTGGCTGGTGCTCAGTGTGGAGCTTGGAGCCTGCTTTGCCGCCTTAAAGTGGGCCTTGTCTTTATTCTCTAGCACCTTTTTTCTTTCTCTGTGCTCAGCTGGGCAGGACCAAGGGTGGTGTGGGTGGGGCCATAGGCCTTTCAGCAGTGATTTCCTGCCTGCTGGTTGGCTCCCTGTGAGGCAGGGGTGTGGCCTTTAGTTTATAATGGGGCAGGAGTCTTTGCCTCCTGCAGCGTCTGCTGAGCCTTTGTGTGAGAGTGTTCAGCCCCTTTTCTTTCCCCCGCTGCAGCGTTGCTGTGTCCAGCCACCGGCTCTTCCTGGATGTCTGTCTTCTCATTTCTATGGTCTCTTCAAGACCCAGACCCTCAAGGTATGTGACAGCCATGCCGGTGGACACGCTGACCTCGGGAGCCTCAGCCACTCCTGCCCTTCCTTTCCGCCTGCGGGCCAAAGTCCCTGGCTACCTGCTGCGGAGGCCATCGGACGGGGGAGCCCGGAAACCCAGCGCAGTGGAGCGCCTGGAGGCGGACAAAGCCAAATACGTCAAGAGTCTGCACGTGGCCAACACCCGCCAGGAACCCATACAGCCTCTGCTGTCTAAACAGCCACTCTTTAGCCCAGGGACTCGCCGAACCGTGCTCACACCCAGCCGCCGAGCCCTGCCTGGTCCTGGCTGCCGGCCCCACTTAGACCTGGACATCCTTAGCAGCCTCATCAACTTGTGTGATAGCCCGGTGTCTGCTGCCGAGGCCAGCCGTACCCTGGGACGGGCAGAGGGAGGCCCCCAGCGCCCCCCAGCCACCCCTCCACGCCCACTGCCCAGTACCACTGCTGTCCGCCGAGTGGATGTTCGTCCCCCACCTGTGTCGACTGCTGGACTCTGCCCATCACCAGGCACAACCACGGCCTCCAGCCCAGTCCGGCCACCGGGTCTGCAGCGCTCCAAGTCAGACCTGAGCGAGCGTTTCTCCCGGGCAGCGGCTGACCTTGAACGCTTTTTTAACTTCTGTGGCCTGGACCCAGAAGAGGCCCGGGGGCTGGGGGTGGCCCACCTGGCTCGGGCCAGCTCGGATATCATGTCCCTGGCAGGGCCCAGTGCCGAGCTGGGCAGCTCTGAGGGGGGCTGCTCTGCCCGCAGCTCTGCTACCGTGGAAGAGCGCGCCCGGGAACGGGTCCCCTATGGCGTGTCTGTGGTGGAACGAAATGCCCGCGTGATCAAGTGGCTGTATGGCTTGCGGCAGGCGCGGGAGACCCCTGCAGCTGAGGGCTAGGCCTGTGTTTGACATGGAATTTGCCACAGGACACATTTTGGACAGGCAGCTGGCCCCTGACTGCTCCTGCAGCATTCCATGTCTGGATAGACCAGAGACCGTCCGTATGTGAACTTGGTGTAAGAGGCAAAGGCTGCCACCTAGACCAAGAATGGGGAGGGTTGCTCCTGACCTTGGACCTCTGTGCCCTACACACAAGGTTTCTGACATGAGGGTACCTCTGCTTGACTCTTCTGGTGAGGCTGCATTTGCAGTTTAGTCCTTCACCACTGAGACTGAGGGGTCTGGAGACCTACCAAGCCTATCTACCCAGTGGCTCCATTTCCTCCTTCCTTCCTTGGCCTCTGTGCTTTGGTGACTTCCTCTTCTTTACTTGGTTGGTCCCTGCCTCCCGGGAACTACCCCTGGGGTGAAAGCAGGGGGAGGGAGCCTGTCTACTGCTCTTCCTGATCTTTGGCAGCCGGTTTGGGTGGGTAGATGATGGGAGGGACTGGTTAGAAGTGTGCACTGCTCTGCCCTTCCTCCCTTGTTAATAAATGCAAATATTTCTTTCTTAAGGGCTGGGCCTTCAGATTCTTCTGTGTTTACAAGGAAGAGAGGGGTGGGAGAAGACTTGGGATAAGGCTTTTGGAATTGAATAATTGCTCACCACAGTCTGGTGGGGCAGGAGGTCAGCCACTGGCCTGAGATCTACCCATGACAGGGGTCCTAACTCTTCTGAGAGGTTGGCTCTTTCATAGAGGAGGAAATTGGGTCCAGCCACAGGGAGTAGGGACAGAGCTGGGACCAGGACTGGGAACCTCCTTTTTACCAGGAAGGGGCGTGTAGAGGCAAGGCTGTCAGTGGTTCATGGATCCCTCCAACCCCCAGCCTTGAAGGTTCCACCCTTCCCCACTGCTGCCTAGTTCCCAGGTGGGCAGGAAGCTTAGAGAGGACAAACCCTGAACTTGAGGTCACTGTGGCGGCGGGGAGCTGTGAAGGAAGAGAAACCTGGGGAGGATGGCACAGCATGGATGGCCTTGTCTCTGACTCTGGGAGATCCTGGACAAACCAGGCTCCCTCCTGGGCCTCTGGGGAGTTGTCAGCACATCCTCCTTGGGTTGGGACACTCTGGGCCCTCCCTGCTACATTTCAGGGCCTGGGAAGAAGCAGGATGGGGCTGGCCCTGGGCTTTGAGGTCTTCTGTTTTCATCCCAGGTTAGTTAACCTGGCGGGCAGCTAGAGCTGGAGTGGGCAGAAAGGGGCAACCTAGGGTGGCCTGGCCACCCCCCCAGGGTGGCAGTGGGAGTGCTGGGTGGTGTTTCCTCTTTGTGGGCTGCCTTGGCTGCAGCACTCAGAAACAGGAAGTGCTAATGGGGGCCTGGTGACAGGTTTGATGTAGGTTTTATTTTAAGCATAAAGAGGAGATTTCCGTTGGGCTGTTGACAAACATCCAGATCAGCCCAGCTGTGTATCCACAGCCAGCCCTCCGGGGACCTGGGAAGACTGCAGAGAGAAGGAGAAACTGTGTAGCAGAGATGAGCTCACGAGGCTGGGCTCAACCCTCTTTGTGATGAGGAGACTGAGGCACAAGGAGGGCTGCGACTTGCCTGTGGGTGTCCCTCACTGTTGATAGCACAGGAGCTGGGTCTTCTGGGTCCTGTGCTGAGGAGTGTTGGGGTTGGGGAATAATCTGAGCCACCCAGGGTGCTGCCCCTGGAGGTGTCAAAGGCCACACACTGGGCAACCCTGCTGGACTCTGCTTCCTTGCCCCTTTCTGTGACCTGCAGCCCCCTGCCACCCAAGAATGGGGGTGGGATGGCTGCCTTTTACATGTGAAGAAACTGAGGTCGAGGTCTCAGGCCTGGGGGAAGGACCCCTTGATCCTGTAGGAGAGGTCAGTGCTGTATTTACCCTCTCACGGAGTCCTCAGCGTGACCTTTGGATGGTCGGGCATATGGTCTTAGAGTCGGACATTGAACTTGGGGTGAGGGTGACTTATGGGCTGTCACAGCAGGTCTGCAGGACAGCAGGGGCCACCTCCTGGTCTGTGGACCCCCTGCCTGCCCCACCCCCCACCAGACAGCAGCATGCTGGAGTTCCAGTTCTCTTCAGCATCCCGGAAGCCTTTCCTGCTGCCCTTGGATTAGAACTTCCTAGGTGCCCCGCGGTGAATAAGAGAGACACGGTCCCTGCCCTGGTCTGGGGCGAGAGAAGAGGCGACAGTGTAGCAGCACATCACTCTACATTAGGAAGCAGGTGTGTTCAGGGACTTCCGTCTTGGGCTATAGCTGCTAGGTGGGCCTGGGCTTGTCTGGGAAGGACCTTGAAGAGTCTGTAAGCGGGACCGCCAGGAAGACTCTGGGAAGGCACGGAGGTGCCAGGCTGAGTCTTGATTTCTGCAGCAGGCACTGTTTGGTCCTGGGAAGGCTCGCCTCTTCTAGGGTCCGGAGCCTCCCAGGCTGCCATGCAGGATCCATGGAAGAAGCAGGCTGGGGGCTCCTCCCGTTCCCCCACCATGCTGGGATCTCTGCAGAAACAGCCCCTCTATTGTTCTGCCTCCAGCTGTAGTGTGAGCCTCCCCTATGAGCAGCCGCTGCTGCTTTCAGCCCTCCAAGGCCTGCAGCTGCTGCCTGGTCTTCTGGGAGTACCCAGCCTTGGACCCCCCCCCCCAACCCCTGGGCCAGCCTGGCCCCAGCTGCTTGGCCCCTAATTAGCCAGAGATGAGATCTGCTCCCTGATCTACTTCCCACCAGCTAATTATATATATGTGGGGCTGGAGGCAGGGAACCCGGCTGCTCACTTCTGCCGTAGAGACGTGATGGGCTTCTGGGAAGGGACTCCTCTCCAGGACCTCAGTTTGCCCTTTGGACAGAAGTGGAATAAATGGTTCTGTTTCTGCTACTGAGGCATTCCTGGGGAATGGGTGGTCGATCAACTCTCGTTAGTTAGCCCTCCCTGTAGTTTGGGGGAGGGAATATTCTAACCTCTGAGTGCCTGTTGAATGAGTGTGTGAATGTTTGTACCCCCGTCCTGCCTGACATGCTGTATACAGAGAAGCAGAACAGGGCAAGGAGTTAGGCTGTCGGTCCCTGAGCTCTGGGGTCCGGGGGCAGAACGGGGGTATGGGTGAGAGCCTGGTGACAGCTGCCCTCTGTGGGATGGCTTAGACATGTGGGCTCATCTAGGCCCCAGACAGAACACCCCACCCAGGTTCTTAACAGTGAATATCATTTTTCAGGTAATACCCTCATCTATTTCTCCCAGAATTTTATTAAGAGAAATTTCTTTTTTTAAAGAAAAATTTCAAACATAAGGAAAAGTTGATAGAATTATACTGTGAGCAATCATAACACCTATTTACTAATGCATGATTAATTTTTTGCTATATTTTCTCTATCAAAAATCTGTCCCCTTATGCAGCCTTCTACCCATCCCTTAATGCAACTCATTTATTCTTCAGTTTATCAAAACAAGCTGCAAACATCAGTATGCTATTCTCAAGGCATTTCCACAGATGTTATCAGCTAGAATTCAATATTTGTTTGTGCTTTTTTTTTTGCTGAAAGTAAAATTTGCAGACAGTGAAATACTCAGCCCCTAAAGGTATCATGTGCTGATTTCAGACAAATGTGCACTGCACCTCAGTCCCCAATCAGGATATGAAACATCACTGTCGCCATGGAAAGCTCCATTATGTCCTCTCCTGCTGGTTCCTGCCTCCACCTGGCAGATATGCGTACAGACTTAAATAAATTAAAGAGCATTAATAAAAACATTCCTTTGCCCCATCCTTTCCCTCCCAGTCCTGCAGCCCAAAGGCAACTGCCTTCCATTCTGTGTTTACCCTGGTACTCTTCCGTATTTCTAAATAGTGCTTCCTGCCGCTGATTAACTTTAGTCAAATACTGACTGACTTTCTGGTCTGATGTCTTCACAATGTCACTTCTGACTCTGACCTTGAACCTCAGCCCTTCCCTTTCTGGCTGTATGAACTTGGGCAGATGACTTAGTCTTCCTTGTGCCTCAGTTTTCTCATTTATAAACAAGAATTATGGGACTATTTAGGTTATTGGATTGTTAGAATCCAAGGTGGGAAGCACTTAGCATAACACACAACCTTTTTATTATTACCAAGGAAGATTGAGCTTTTACTCACCCCTCCTCCTACAATCTACATGTAATATAGTTTTCCATTAAATGAATATTTAATGTTATTTATGACCCTATAAATACTGTTTCCTGCTAAGCCATGTCATGTACTTTGGTTGCATTTCCTTTCTTGTACACCTCTTTGTTTTTCCTGGAGTTACTATCTGCTGTGATTTTTCATTCGTCTAGGTTTCTCTTAACCTATCCTTAATTCTTTCAGTTCTCCTTGCCCGGTACTGCCCATAGTTACATTACACACAGCAGCTAATTTATTGGCTCCATTTCTTTCCTAAAGCTCTTCAAGTGCTTTCTAACAAGACCTCTTCCTCCTCCTTTTCAACTGGAGCCAATTCCAAAAATTGAATCTCTAGAACAAGCTGTAAGATAAGCATCTGTGAGCACCCACTGGGTGCCATACTGGTACTGAGCGCCATGGCAGTGGACGGGCAGTGTCCCCAGGAGGGATGAGAACTGAAGCCTCCTGCCTGCCCCCGGCAGCTCTCCATTTACTAGGAACCTCTTATGCCATGTGGGAATCTCAGGCCCTCAGGGAGCCCAGGCTTACTCATGTGTACAGTGAGGATTGTTTAGTTATGCCGCAATCATTCCTTGCCTATGTGGCTTGTCTGTTCGGGGTGCTATCTTGTACTCTATATGGCATTGATCTCCTTGTCCCTTGAGGGCTCACGGAGGGCTGTGAGAGAGAGGGGCCTGGAGAACGGCAGGGAGGTGCTGGGGGAGGAGGTGGTCAGGAGCCATTGCTAGGTTCCTGGGGCTACATGAGAACTCAGCTTCCACACTAGACGAGGGACTGCTGACCTGGCCAGGCTGAGATACCTGGACTGAGATGTGAAGCATAGGTAGGAGTTAGCTAGGGGAAGAAAATGTAGGAGTGGGACAGGACTCCAGATGGAGGGCATGTGCAAAGGTCTTGTGGTGGAAGGACCAGCTCTAGGAACAGAGAAGTGACTGGCCAGACCTGAAGCCTCAGGGCTAGGTCATATGGAGCTGTGGGAATCTTTAAACAACTTGAGAGTTTATTCTTCCTGAACTGAAACCCAGTGGCCTAACTGTACTCATGATCTGGATCTATTACTCTGCAGTATCCCCTTTATCCATCCCTCTGCTGAAGCCAGGTTACTCCCTTTCTGTTCCAGAAACACATTCCTGCCTCACCAGACGTTCCTACCTCAGGGCCTTTGCACTTGTTTCCATTGTCAGTGCTGAGGCCACCCCACCTGCAGACGTGGCTTATTCTCCCCTTCAGTGTGGCCTCTGCCTGCCTGTTGCCTTCTGAGAGAAGCCTCTCTGACTACCACAGCTGAACTATCAGATCTGAGTCCTACTTCTTTCTTTGGCTTGGTTTTCTTTCTAGCACACCTATCTCTTGGCTTTTATTGAACAGAGGCTACATGGTGTGTCTCTC